TTTATAGGTAAATGTGTTCAAAATCATGGATAGAGCGTGTGTTCATATAAAAGTTGACACTCAGGTCAACATCAAGTGGTAACAGTCTGCTCCATGTTTGAACACAATGTTCAGGTCATGTGTGTTGCATGTATTCGATATATATATATATATATATATATATATATATATATATATATATCTATATCCAAGTATATGATTGGTGTATACGGAATAAATTCCAATAACCAACAATTACTATTCTTAAAAGAGTGTTCAATACAGAGTAGAGCGAATATAATTATTTATTTAAAAATTATAACATAAATATGTTATAAAATCACCACAAAAATAGCAATTTTGTTTCAAAATCTCTGGTGTCTTATCAAGTGATATTGTTGAATGTAGATTACAATCTACATTCAACATGATCACTTGATAAGACACCAGAAGTGTTGAAACAAAATGTCTATTTTTGTAGTGATTTTATAACATTTTTATGTTATAATTTTTAAATAAATCACAATATATATATATATATATATATATATATATATATATATATGAAGGGTGTCTGTGTGTGTGTGTGTGTACGGATGGATGGATGGACGTATGAATTTCCAAAACAGTCCAAGCACTGTGCAAAGCAATTTCTTTTACCGCATATGTAATATGCATTGCAAGTCGCTTACTAACTTCAAGTGCCATTGTTGATCTCGCGAGAACTAAACTCATAAATTAAATCTCGCAGCGTCTGTCATATTCTTTGAACGAGCTGATAGCCATCACGAATGTACGTATATTTCTTTATCGATTAATAATTGTGAAAAACATTTTACTTGTTCAAAATTAATGTTCATACTCCCAAAATATCGGATTTCCAAATATTTGCAAAATAACATTTTTTCCAATTTCGCTTCTCAATGTCATAATGAAGGAATTAAATGACATATTGACCCAAAACTAATAATAGTTAATGTTAAATAATGAAAATCAATATAATAATAATGAAAATCAATATAATAATAATGTAATCAGTATAATATTTAGTACATATTAATCATCATTTATGACTACGATTAAATGTAATTAAAATTAAAAAGAAATTAGTGCTAGTAAAAATGTATAATTGTTGTAGAGTAGTTTTCACAGTGGAGGCTTGTATTTCAATAAGTCGTCCTAAATTAGGTTCGACGTACAAAACGTTAGGAACTTGAAATAAGAGTTAATGACGCAGCAATCTAGTTGTGATGGTTGATACTTCAATGTCCGACAGACTCACTCAACACCACTGAGCCCAACTGGCGACCCCTACTACTACTACTACTTATTATATGTGGGAGAGTCTATTAATAATAGAATAGATACGTCAGGTATGACAATAATACTGAAGATGCTTCATCAAATAAATTCAATATTAATATTAATAACCTTAGATTGATGGCAAGGAAGGTTATGATGAAAGGAACTAAATTAATTTTGGTTCCTTTCATGAAAGAAAGAAATAATAGTTAATATCTATCGAAGACTAAATTCAAAATAATATTTGACTTATCGATTATGTGGATAAAATTAGAACTAACGAAAAGTTTCATTTAAGAATTTAAGACAGCTTGTTATTTTGACTCCTCGGTGTTAAAGTCACTAAAATTAGAATAAAAGAAATATGAGTCAAAATTTAATTTAGATTGACAGTGTCCGATCATGAATAATAAATTTAGAGTAATTATAATATCAATGATGGTCTGAGTAGTAATGAGAGGTAATCAAGATTAAGATGTACGAACGAAATACAAGTACAAAATTAGTTAGGTTCGACAATGCTTCATCTATAAAATTCAGACAACATAAGTTTATAACATTTTTTAAAAATTCGAACAGCCTAAGATTATGACATTTAAAAAAATATATTTTTAATTCAAATAACCTAAGATTATGATATTTTTAATTAAAAAAAAATTCAAACCTAAGATTATGACATTTTCAATTAAAAAGAAATACAAACGACTAAGATTATGACATTTTAATTTTTTTACACTGTCACAACCTAAGATTATGACATTTTAATTTTTTTACACCCCACAACCTTAAGATTATGACATTTTAATTTTTTTACACTCTCACAACCTAAGATTATGACATTTAAATTTTTTTTACATCCCACAACCTTAAGATTATAACATTTTAATTTTTTTTACACTCTCACAACCTAAGATTATGACATTTTAATTTTTTTTTACACCCCACAACCTTAAGATTATGACATTTTAATTTTTTTTACACTCTCACAACCTAAGATTATGACATTTTAATTTTTTTTTACACTGTCACAACCTAAGATTATGACATTTTAATTTTTTTTTCACCCCACAACCTTAAGATTATGACATTTTAATTTTTTTTTACACTCTCACAACCTAAGATTATGACATTTTAATTTTTTTTTACACTCTCACAACCTAAGATTATGACATTTTAATTTTTTTTGCACTTTCACAAATATGTCAACAGAAACAGTAATATAAACGATTGTGAGTGCTGACTGCTGGAAACTACCCTCTCCAAAAGGCAGTACCTGCTTCTGGGAGAGTCCATGCGTGCGTGGGTAAATTACTATAACATGTATGTATGAGTATGTGCGTGTATATACAAATAAATATATATACATACAAATAACAAACCCAATCTAACAGAAGGACAAGTCTGAATTAAAAACCTGGGGAGGGTCGTTAGGGGACCTTGTCTTACGGTATTGCACCAGGTCTCTGTATTCGGCCCTTCAGAAAGTGTGGTTGGTTCTGCAAAAAGCCTTCACCACTATAATCAAATCATATGTCGGTTCCTAGGAACTGAGCTACTTGACCCTCATACATCAAATAGGACGGGATATATATAATTAAAAAAAAGAACAGTAAGATATATAATCAAGTGTTCTTATTGATATTTTTATTTTTGAAAAATAGTGTTCAATGTAAATTTACAGAGCATTAATATTATAAATTAACAGATTTAAAATATGTTTTTTTCGCTACACAGTAATAACCATGTTTCAAAAATGAAAGCTAAAAGCTTCGAATTAAATTAACATTAGTTCCATTTCATCCTCAAGCTATATATATATATATATATATACAGAGAGAGAAAGAGAGAGAGAGAGAGAGAGAGACATATACATTAATAGGCACATACAAGGATAGATGAATTTGTATGAAAGTAAACTGCATACTGCGTATCTATTGATAATTTATTTATTGATAAGATATGAACAAATCGTGATAGATATTTAGATAGATAAGGATCAGACAGAAATAGATAGATAGATAGATAGATAGATAGATGAGGATCTGACAGAAATAGATAGATAGATAGATAGATAGATAGATAGATAGATAAGCATCAGACAGAAATATATATATATATATATATATATATATATATATATATATATATATATATATAGATAAATAGATAGATAGATAGATAAGGATCAGACAGAAATAGATAGATAGATAGATAGATAGATAGATAGATAGATAGATAGATAGATAGATAGATAGATTTATATCAAAGCAAAGTAGACCGCATACAATGCATCTATTGAAATTGTCTTTGTACTTGTAGCCTTAAAGCCAATGTGTTCAGTGGATCATTGTTGATATGTTTATGATCTGAACGTAGTTTTATTCTGGCAAACTTCTTTCCAAACGTTTCCTCAGATGAAATGAAAGATACTCTTCGCAGTTGAAAAGGCAATGTATCAGTGATCGATGACCTGCCTCTATCGGTTATGAATGAAAAGTAAGACAAAAGAGAAATAATGAGAAACGAATAGCAGAGAAAGATAGATTTAAAAAAATGACTGGAGAGAGAGAGAGAGAGAGAGAGAGAGAGAGAGAGAGAGAGAGAGAGAGAGGGGGAATATAGAGAAAGAGAGTGAAATGTCAATGTAGAAAGTGAGAACGAAAGCCAAAAGAAAAGCCATATTGAAAAGAAAACGAAAAGAAGTGAATGAGGTGAAGTATGAAATGGGAGAAACAAAAGTAAAGTGAAAAATCAGTAATTTAGGCCGATCATTAACAAAATTAGGAAGGAAAAAACGTAAGGAAGGAAGGAAGGAATGGATGGAAGGAAGAAAGGAAGGAAGGAAGGAAGGAATGGATGAAGGAAAGGAAGGAATCAAGGTTGGAAGAAAGAAAGGAAGGAATCAAGGTTGGAAGGAAGGAAGGAAGGAAGAAAGGGAAGAAGGAAAGGAAGGAATCAAGGAAGGAAGAAAGGGAAGAAGGAAAGGAAGGAATCAAGGTTGGAAGGATGGAAGAAAGTGAAGAAGAAAAGGAAGGAATCAATGAAGGAAGGAAGGAAGAAAGGGAAGAACGAAATAAGGAATCAAGGAAGGAAGGAAGGAATGAAGGAAGGAAGAAAGGGAAGAAGGAAAGGAAAGAATCAAGAAGGAAGGAAGGAATCAAGGAAGGAAGGAAGGAAGAAAGGGAAGAAGGAAAGGAAAGAATCAAGAAGGAAGGAAGGAATCAAGGAAGGAAGGAAGGAAGAAAGGGAAGAAGGAAAGGAAGGAATCAAGGAAGGAAGGAAGAAAGTGAAGAAGGAAAGGAAGGAATCCAGGAAGGAAGGAAGGAAGGAAAGAAGAAAGGGAAGGAAGAAAAGAAAGAAATCAATTAAGGAAGGGAAAAAGGAAAGGAAGGAATCAAGGAAGGAAAGAAGAAAGAATGTGAAGAAGGATAGAAAGGAATCAAGGTTGGAAGGAAGGAAAGAAGGAAGGAAGGAAGAAAGGGAAGAAGGAAAGGAAGGAATCAAGGAAAGAAGGAAGCAAGGAAGGAAGGAAGGAAGGAAGGAAGGAAGTGAAGAAGGAAAGGAAGTGATCAAGGTTGGAAGGAAGGAAGGAAGGAAGGAAGAAGGAAAGGAAGGATTCAAGGAAGGAAGGAAGGATGAAATGGAAGAAGAAAAGGAAGGAATCAAGGAAGGAAGGAATCAAGGAAGAAAGGAAGAAAGGGAAGAAGGAAAGGAAAGAATCAAGGAAGGAAGACAGTGAAGAAGGAAAGGAAGGAATCAAGGTTGGACGGAAGGAAGGAAGAAAGTGAAGAAGAAAAGGAAGGAATCAAGGAAGAATAAAAGAAAGGGAAGAAGGAAAGGAAGGAATCAAGGAAGGAAGAAAGGATGGAAGGAAAGAAGAAAGGGAAGATGGAAAGAAGTAAGGGAGGATGGAAACGAAGGAAGAATGGTAGGAAGAAACGTAGGGAAGCAAGTAGGAAGGAATCAAGGAATGAAGAAAGGGAGGAAGGAAGGAAGAAATGAAGAAAGGGAGGAAGGGAATAAGTAACGAAGGAATCAAAGAAGGATGGAATGATGGAAGGATGGAAGGAAGAAGGTAAAGATAGAAGAAAAGGCTGAAGGATGAAAGAAAGAGAGCAAGAAAAGAAGGCTGATCAATATTGAAGCAATAAGATAGGAAGGGAAAAAGGAAGCGAGGGAGTGAGGAAGAAAAGGAAAAACGGATGGAAAGGAGGAAGGAAGGAAGATAAGAAGGAAGAAAGGGAGGGGGCAAGAAAAAACGGAAGGAAGGAAAATGGATGGAAGGGAGCAAGTAAGGAAAGAAGGAAGGGAAAAGGGAAGGAAGGGAGACAGAAAATAAGAAGACTGATCAATTCAGAAGCAATGAAACAGGAAGGAAGGAAGGAAGGAAAGGAAGTAGGGAAAGAAGGAAGTAGGGAAGAAAAGACGGAAGGAAGGAAGGAAGGAAGGAAGGAAGGAAGCAAGAAAAGAAGGCTGATTCAATATAGAAACAATAAGACAGACAGGAAGGAAGGAAGGAAGGAAGGAAGGAAGGAAGGAAGGAAGGAAGGAAGGAAGGGAAGGAAGGAAGGAAGGAAGGGGGAAGAAAGAAGGGAAGGAGGATGGAAGGAAGGAAAGGAAGGAGGGAAAGAAGGAAGTAGGGAAGAAAAGACAGAAGGAAGGAAGGAAGGAATGAAGCAAGAAAAGAAGGCTGATTCAATATAAAAACAATAAGACAGGAAGGAAGGAAGGAAGGAAGGAAGGAAGGAAGGAAGGAAGGAAGGAAGGAAGGAAGGAAGGAAAGAAATAAGAAAGGAAGGGAAGAAAGAAGGGAAGGAGGATGGAAGGAAGGAAAGGAAGTAGGGAAAGAAGGAAGTAGGGAAGAAAAGACAGAAGGAAGCAAGCAAGAAAAGAAGGAAGTAAAGAAGGCTGATCAATACAGAAACAGTAAGAGAAGAAGGAAGGAATGAAGGTTGGAAGGAAGGAATGAAGGAAGGAAGGAAGGAAGGAAGGGAAGAAGGGACGAATGAATCAAGCAAGGAAAGGAAGTAGGGAAAGAAGGAAGTATGGAAGAAAAGACAGAAAGATGGAAGTATATAAAGAAGGAAAGGAAGGAAGGAAGGAAGGAAGGAAGGAAGGAAGGAATTAAGGAATTAAGGAAGGAAGGCTGATTAATATAGAAGCAATGAGATAAGAAGGGAAGAATGAATGAAAGGAAGGAAGGAAGGAAGGAAGGAAGGAAGGAAGGAAGGAGAAAAGATGAGGAAGGAAGCAATTAAGAAAGGAAGAAAAGCTGATCCATACAGAAGCAATTAGACAGGAAGGAAAGAATGGAAGAAGGAAAGAATGAAGGCTGATCAATATATTAGCAATGAGGCAGGTTAAATGATGCAAAGGAAAAATACTAAGACAAAAGGGAAAAATTTGAAAGAATTGAAATAAAAGAGGAGCGATTAAGACTGAGGAGGAAAGAGAAAGAGAAAGGGAGAGAGACAAAAATAACTAAAAAGCCAAAAAATTAGCATAAAAGGGTAAATGAAGAGAAAGCACATACGTCAACGAGGGATGCATTATAGATAAAAAAAAACGCAAAGAAAAAGAAAAAGATAAGTAAACTTTGGCCATTACTAGGTTGTAGACATGTCCCCGATGACCCTCTTCAAAGCACAAACAGCTCACCCACAAGAGTGGGACTACGAGACAGAAATATAGAATCAACCATTCCATACCATTTTTTTATTCGTCAGTGTTCAAATACACGTGAGTGCGTGCGTACACACACACACAGACACACGCACGCACATATATACAAAAGCACACATACAAATACTCGAACTAACACGCAGTTGCTGATCTCTCTCTCTCTGATTTACAGATAAACATTTCAGTTATTTGTACACACTGTATATACCGATACAAAGAAGTTATTACTACCTATTTACACTGATGCAATGTTTCTCACACTTACAGCTTTGTGTTTAATCATTTACATATTTTATACATTCATGCATTTAAACCTTACACATATACATATATATATAAGACATTAATAGGAATATATATATATATATATATATATATATATATATATATATATATATATATATATATATTCCTATTAATATCTTTTTTTCCTTATGGTGGTTGATAGATATTATATACTTATAATTTTGATGGTTATTCTTGGTGATAATGTGCAGGCTGGTCAACAGCTATCAGAGGAATCGATGAGCTGAGTTTGAATTCCAATCGAGTTCTTTTAGTTATTTTCGCACAAATGATTATGAAAAAGCATGAAGCCATCTTTTATCTCCCATTTTTTAATCAATCGTTCTCAGCTAGCATCAAGTATAAAGATTATATTGAATCCATTGCTAAATCAACTGTTAAGAAAATTGGTTCACTGTGTCGTGTGAGACAATTTTTCGTCGTTGATGAAATGTTTAGTCCATGGTATTATTCTTAACATCTTTATATAGAACCACATTTCTGTTACTTCAAGTCTCTTCTTCATCTGTGATGAGATTGTACAGCATTCACTGCCATATAGGAGGACTGATATTACGTTCAGTACTTTTTTCTTTGTTTCGAACGAAATTTTTTTTTTCTTAATACTTTGCTTAGCTTTTGGAAATCATTTTCGTTATCCTAATGCACATTCGGATATCAGTGTCGCACTTTCCGCCCGTTGTTAAAACAATTTGCAAATATTTAAATTGGTGTAGTTGTTTGTTTTTGGTACCACCAATTTGTAATTTGTATGTTGGGCTGTTCCTTTTGCTAACAAACATGCATTCTGTCTTCTTATTATTGGTATTTAGCCCTTCCTTCTCACTTTCCTTCAAAATCTTATGGAGGAGTTATTATAATTTCCTTCTGTGCCTGCTATCAACACTGTATCATCTGCCTATCTTATGTTCTTAAGATTGTGGCTGCCAATAATGAATCTCGGTGGGACTTCTAATTCTCATAGAATCACCTTACTGTATTGGTTGAATAAAAAATATAAAAAGATAAAAATAGTGATCTCTGCAAACACATGATTATCTACCCCTGAAGAGACATGGCTTTAAAAACGGTGATAATGATTATGATAATGGTAACAACGCATAATTTAAACTATGTGTGTAAATGTTGAGTCGCAATAATAATGTATTCTTTTATAAAGCTACAACTGTAATGTGTATTATTAAAAAGCTACAACTATAATGTATTCTTTTTAAAGCTACGACTATAATGTATTCTTTTAGAAAGCAACAACAATAATATGTTATTTTATAAAGTTACAGCTATAATGTATTCGTTTATAAAGATACAACTATAATGCATTCTTTTCATCAGAACAAATGATTTCGTTATGAAGAAACATTCGGCATTCATTCACTGGGCAGCCATTGGTATTCAAGTTCCACTTTTCTTCCCTTCCTGGCCATCAATCTATGATCAAAGTGTAGTATCTGTTCTCCTCATCTCTAATGCTAATGTTAATATTAGCCATTTCCTTATAAAGAAACATTCGGCATTCATTCACTGAGCAGCCATTAGTATTTGAGTTCCACTTTTCTTCACTTCCTGGCCATCAGTCTATGATCAAAATGTAGTATCTGTTCCATTCCGCTGGGATCAAAATATGTTCTTCTCATCTCTAATTCTAAGGCACAGGGAAGCTATGTTTTCAGATTTTCAGTTCTTCCATACTTTTTATAAAGATGTCCCAAGTATCCCATTTAATCATTGACACAACTGTTACTTCGACTTTTCATAGTTTTTCAGTTCTCACAATGTCTAGTTATTTATTCTGATTATCATTCATTTTCAGTTTAAAAATTATCGTATGTGTGAACAATCCCATCGACTACATTATAGATAATATTTGGATTTGAGTCATTGTGTTACATCTCCTAGCCAATGTCCCCAATAAATCATTATTTTATTCATTATGACAGCTTCTGAATTATTCTTTTACATAACCAAATTCTTGTTATTTGCACAATTCCCAGGGAATCACTGCTCTTACCAAATTTTATCTACTTTATCTACTTTCCTACTGAG